CGCACGACAGTAGTTATTTTTAACGCTGCGCTCTACTATTTTTGAAGTAGCCCACGTAATGTTTCATCCGCGGCGACCGCATCTGATTGTTATTGGGATGCGGACTATGCGAGCACAGAGAATGTATTCAATAAACTCGTTCCAAAATACTCCTGATCTGTTACGGCCTTTGGGCGGAGTCTGCAGGGCACCGGCCCCGCATGAGGGGGGGCCGGTGCAGAGGAGCGGACTCCTCACGCTGTCCCTCCTTGTGGCCTCCCTGAGGTGCCGCCGCGCCACTTATCCTTTTTTTCTCCTTGTATCTATCTTTCTTTTTTTATTAATATCCTTCTATTTCAGGACCACAAGAAGGCTTCATTGCCGCCACGCCATGGTAAGCCCGCGTAACATCAAGGAGAACCTGATGTAGATATGCTGTTCTTACTTAATCGTACAATTCGTCGTTTCCCTCCCGAAAGGATCAGTGGCGTGGCGTGAATTGCGATGTATCGATTGTTTTGCCGTATAAACCTATGATAAAGTATCGATTATTAAGGTGTTGGGTGCGAACACCCTGTATATCGATCGTTTTCCATAGATTTAAACGGCATAACAATCGATATATCGCAAAGCACGCCACGCCACTGGAAAGGAATAAAGGATATAACTACATTTCAACGTTACCGAATTTCCTCTTGTAAATTTAATTTTTACCAAGAGAGACTTGTATATTTCTAACTGAAAAATGCACTGACTTTTCTTCTGATCTCATGGTTTGAATCAGCAAAGTTTTTCCCATGAAACACATCGGTACATTCTCGTGAAAAAATGAGTTGTTTGAGTTAATTTTGCAGCCCTCGAAGAGAATCCTGTTCTCCCTCCCGGAAAACTATACAAATTCCAAAAGATGAGCAGGGTTAAGAAATTCTCACAAGTTTTTGTATTGCTTCAGACCCATCTGACCCATCCTGTTACAGCGTATCATCTCTCGGCTTCCAACTCCTAGCGTCTTCTTTTTTCCGTGCTGCGTAAAAATCACAACATGCGGCTAAACGCTAAAGTATGAAGGATGCCAGCCGTGAAGGTAACATTATCGCCATGAATGACACAGCCACTTCATTAATAAAGTTGTTTCAAGTATCATTCAACCTCATTATACTAATACTATTTTAAAAAATATGGCTCTAATATTTAGCCTTGGTCTTTAGAACATGAACTCAAAATTAGTAACAGTCATCCACTGGACAGTTTTTTAAACCATTAGTTCGTAAATTTGCCTGTGAATGGCAAAGTATCGTCACCACTGTAATCTTTGAAATCGTTTCTCCAAAACTTAGAGGGACTATTAAAAGGGATGATCTGACTTTGTTTGAATACGGAAAGAAAAAGAGAACTTAAAGTTTTGAATCTCTGATCAAATATATGAGACCAAATGTATTGCAGCTGAAATCGGTGTTACAAGACCAAAGTCAATATTCCACACATAAATATGGCGCTCCGAATACATTGCATGTTTTGAAGAGGATAAATTTGCTCCTTTATCGACAAACTAACAAATTTTGAAGTCTTGAAAATCAAATGAATGGTGAGCACACATCAACGGTTGGGTTTAGTTGGGTCACGCAACTATTCGAGCATGGGCGTAGCCATTTTGCATACACATTTAATTGAAGGCGAATCATTGTTGTGGCACCGCTTATTGCGCAACTATTAAGCGTGCGATAATGAACTAACCTATTCGCGCTTTCTATCGTTCTTTTTCTTTCTTCAATAATGCACCTGATTTCTGTTGCATGAGGTTTACCAATAAATAATGTGAAATTCATTGTTGAATCTCGTGCACCGTCAGAGGAAAATTTCTCGAACGTTTTCGCACACGTTTGAGTAAATTGTATAATTAGAAAAGGTGTTAAAATAAAAAAAAAAAAACATAACTGTTTTTAGGACCTGCAATCTATTAAATGTTTCAAAACTCATGAGGAGGTTCTATGATGGAAATACGGAGTGCGGGGCCCACTCATTATTCTTACGGATTTCCCACTAGAAATTACGGAATACTGATGACAATTACTTTCCTCCTTCTCAATGCTAAAATTCCACTGATTTGTCATTTCGCGTTGCGGTGTTTTTAAGAATGAATGATGTAAATTTCCCGTTTTGAGTAACGAAACTAAAAATGTATTAATTCCTTTGCTAATTTGTTTGAGGGTTAAATTCAAAAATCGTTACATAACAATTTGCCCTAGAGCTTCAACCCCTTTGACGCTACGTAAAGATAGTCTACACCTCTAATTTACACAAAGCGTTATAATGATTAATGTAGGTTGGCGCTTATGAATGGGATATACCTGAGATTCTCTACTGCTCACGCATACGCTTTGAAATTTTTAAGTCGTAATTACGAGCTATGCAGAGATAAGACTTTTTTTACTTCAGACTCGGACGGTTTAAACTCGACAATTCTGGTATATACATCTGGATTCACGGCCGCTCAACCTAGGACGACTAACATTTTTTGTGTGGTCTGTGTTCATGTCAATCAGATTCACAAAGGTTTTTTTAGCTCACTAAAATGCCTTAAAAATTTTCTCTCGCGCCCTTTTCAGTCTCAAATCTACCTCCTGCTTTTTCGCCTCTTCTTAGGAAAGAAATATTTTGAGTGATTTTGGCTTGTTTGTTCTTCTTTTTCTTCATTTTTCATAACATTTGGCTCAAAAAAAGAGATTAATGAAGTACTACTTTATGCAAATCACCTGCATAGCCATACGGCACTTTTACCACATGCAACCAAGAAAAGCCAAATCATAATAAATAAACTTAAAAAAAAACAAACAAATAAAAAAATAGAAATGGAGAAATTTTTAAAAAAAATGAAAAAATGGAAACACTAAAAAAACTACGTTACACTGAAAAAAATTAGTTAGCGTCAGATGACTAAAAATGGTTTCTATACACTAACTCAAATTGTGTGATTTGGACACACATGATTTTTGGTTTCTGTACACTAACCACTATTAGTGCTGGAAACTAATTCCGCTACTCTAATTCGCATTCGGTAGGGTTGGGTCAACCTAACCTCAAAACTGAGAGAGGAGAAAACGGCTTAGCGAATGATAACTGGACAATACTTTCAGGAAAAGAAGATTTCTTAAAAGATGAGAGGTAAAAATCAACTGACCGATTCCAAATGAACGACAGAGGAAAGGAATATCCCATAGGTATGTGCAAGTAGACAGAATTATCCTTTAGAGAGACACACACTCACACATGAAACGGTAGCGAATGTTCACACTGAATAAACATATCTCGTCCGAACACTTGAGATATTCTTTTGAAATTACGGGAGAACACGAACTATAGAAGTAAGCAGTAAGTTCACAGATTTTCGTAAAATATAAACTGAACGCGGAACGCTTTAATCGCAATTTAATACAGAAGATTGACGACTCCAACGAATATCATGCTTGTTTACGTTTTGAATCGAACAGACGATTTCTAACCTTAACAGGTTTATCTATGTTGCTTTCGAACGTTTTCAAGAAAGAGAGGACACTATAAATCATACCGGGAGTATTTACATTGTCAAACGAGCCCGAAATTTCACATTTTAATTGATTTTCACGAGCTGACGCGATTGAGGCTGTTGTACCGACGCCACTTTTTCGTACCTAAATAAATGTAACGGACAATGTGGCAGTTAGTGTTGAGGGCGAATTAGTTTGACCCGAAGGTGAATTTGTTTTACCACAGCGCTAATTTTACAGCTAGTGCTGTTTTCCAATTCTGGTTCGCGCTCTAGTAAAGTCAAGTCAGCGTATGAAGCGAATTGATTGGTGCTTCAGTACAATAAATTAGTTCTGAAGCCTAATTTTGATTCTACTTGGCGAGAACTTACCAAATTAGTTCTCAACGCTAACTACTTTTTTTTCAGTGTACGATAACGGTATAAGTAAAATTAGAATAATTACTAAAAAATCGATAAAACTATAATCGAAGAAGCAGAACAAAATTCTGGTAGAAAAAGAGGAGAAGAGGCAAAGCTAGCGACCGAAACAGCGGCCTAGAGCATAATAAATTTCGATCTCGTCCTTGAAAAAATTCCAGTCCAAGACACAAAGAAAGATGCCCGACCCGCGCCGCACCACCTCGTCCGAAAAGAGCCCGGTTACAACGCTCGCAAATGTAAAACAAGACGCAAACGGGAGACCAACAATCAGGCCCTCGGCGGAGTGCAAAGGCACCAGCGACGGCACCTGACAGGGAAATCTTTCATCCCCCCTCTACCCCCACCCGCACCCCACCTGCGGCGCGCATCCCGCGGCATGACAGCGGTCACAGATTAGCATGACGGATAGGCCGGGCACATGAGTGGCATTCGCGAAGCAAGACGACAGCATCTCGCGCTCCCCCGACAAAAAAGCTCAAGTCGCCCCTTCGACACACTCCAAGCTCCACAGGTATCCTCACATACCGGGGTTCGGCCAGAAATGCACTTGCGCTCCTTGGCCGCGTATGCAGGCTCATAATGGCAGCAGTCAACGAGTGTCACAGCGCCGGGCGAGTGACAGGATGAAAAATAAATATGCGCCGAAGCGAGGGGGGGAGGGGGGGAGGAGAGAAAACCGCGCCGGAGAGGCGACGCGCAACTGAAAACTGAAAAGTAAAAAGGTCCTGTTTATCAAAGACTTGAATTATGAATATAAGCGATGAATATTCAAATACCGCAGCCGTCGGGGGTGAGGAGGAAGGAGGGGGGGGGGGTGCCGGTGGAAAATGACAAAAAAAGAGAGCGCTGATCGAGCGTGCGGAGGCAGACGCTGCGGCTTCGGCGGAGGATCGGATCCGTGCGTAAAGCTCCTGGAGGGGGCGGGGCGGCGGCGGGGGGGGAGGTATCGATCGGGGCGCCGGCCATTTTATTCGGCGGGGCCAATGGGGAGGCGCCGTGGGAGTGGTCTGCGGGCGCGAGGAGGGCTGGCGCGGCTGCGGCGGGGCCGTGCGCGGCAGTTGCCTGTGATCCGCAGCCTTGCGCGGTGTTGGTGAGTGCGGGCCCCGGTCGTTTTGGTGCGTCGAGTGTTTTTGTATGGTGGAGCAGGAGCGAGTCCTTTGGGCCGGAAGCCCCCAGTCCAACCCGAAGCCGAATCCCCCGAACGTGACCCGTTCGCCCCGATCCGCGGCGCCGCGAGCCGCGAGTTTCCCCAGCGAGAGCCCAGCCGCCACCCTGGCCGCCGCCCAGGTCCACCACCGCCCCAGGGTGATCCCTTCGTTCGTGCCCCAACCGCGGACCATTAAAATCTCGCCGATTAAAACGGAACATGTTCACGAGGATATGACTATGACGGAGCTGTCACAAAGTAAGAACTAACTCACCATTGCATTTCTATTCGACTTCTAGTTCTTTCCCCACTTCTTTCACCTCCCCCGTGTTTTTGCTCCCTACACTCTCAACTCTCAGTTCGTCTCGGCCAGATCGCTCAGCACGAGAAAACGGGGACCGTCACCGATCTTGTTTGTGTCTCGGCACACTGTGGTGTAGTTCTTTTGCCACCTTTTCTGTGTTGACGCGCTCTTATTCCACGGCCACCATGCGAAATTTGCTCGGTAAGGACTTCTTACGGGTACTTACTTTTCTTCCTCCACCCTCAGAGATTTTTCAACGTTATCACATGGAGAAAAAAGCAACTCAAGGATTGAGTCCTGGATGGCAGTACCTAGATCTTGGGTAGGGATCAGCTCTACCCTACCCTCGTAGACTAAGCATCACTTCAGCCGGGGATGATGACAGGGTGACTACCCAAAATCTAGGTAACGCCATTTAGGTACCTCTATAAGTGTAAGTGTACCCCTCGGGTAAGTGTTTTGAGGGTGTTGAGAGAACTGTTTTTATTGGAATGTCGCGCCCTCAATGATACTCCAAAAGCTGGTTCAAAAATATTCATAATATTTACATTTTGATCTAGAGCGGCCTTAATAATTTGTAACTCCAACATTGACTTCGTATCGAAAATACACGTTAATCACCACACGAATAGAAACAGCACGCCTCAGCCCCCAAAAATTTCTGAGAGTGTAATCTGTGTGAACCTGAAACCGCACCTTTCTTCATATCACCTAGCTACCAGATCCGCAGTCTTTTCAAGCAGGATAATATTTTTGTTCCGATGAATAGGAACATTCCCATCCGTTAATCGACCTTTGTTTACTAAATAAACCGTTTGCACCGAGTCTAAGGCACGAGTGGATTTCGAAGGTTTTGATAACAGAAAAATCATCGTAAGCGATTCTGTGGAGGTGTTATCTGCCGCCAGTGTGCATCTAATTTTAAAAAGATACTAGCCACAGTTTTTATAAAATGTTTAAACATGTTTAAAAAAAACCTAATCCAAAAAATTTCGTATCTGCGACCATTGCATAGGTATATTTTTCGTGACCTATCACTATCTGTAGCCATAACTTGATACAAAGATCATGCATCTTATTTTAACAACAAAACAAAACAAACTCTCGTCGATCCAAATAGAAAATGTACAACAATATTCACTACCAAAATATTGAAAGTTTTGGATATCGTTTCCATTTTATCAACAGCTGATACACAAATGCCTGATTTGTGTAATCTAAAACAAACTTTTAAATCAACGCGCCCGCATGTAAACTTGCAATTTTCTTTAAAAGTGTTAGTACCATATTTCATTCATTTATTCGTCTATTTAACTGTTTAAATTTTTTTTTCGATTGATCTTTCGATTTTATTTGTCATTTTTTATCAAAATCCATACGAAGTCATCTAAAAACTACCATAGCAAAACACAATTAATTCCCAATTTCCTCGAACATGATCGAATAGGATATCAATTTCATTTCATACATCAACTCTTCAATGTCAGCAATGAGCATCCTCACCTGTTAGACGATTACCTGAAATTTTTTTATAATGGCAAGCTGACGGATAGAGAAAAGACGGAAGAAAATTGTGGTAGCTTATTTTATCTTGATCGGGAATTTTGAAATGGAGTTCAAAACGAGGTAGTTTATCAGTTTGAGATCAACAAAGTGAGCATTTGAAAGAATTTTTACATGTTATTCGTGACAATATATCGGAAATTCATTGTCATAGATGTATAGAGGGTTAGATAAAAAAAAAAAAAAAAAAAAAAAAAAAAAAAACACTGCGACCGTTTTACTATCACAAATGACGGTTTTTAGGACATAAATAATTAAATTACAAACTACAGCATAAAGGAATGCATGATTAAGCAGAAAGAGAGGAAAAAATAAATACAATGATGGAGATATATACCACAAAGGTATATTCTAAAATAATATGTGAAATTGTATAGTAAGTTAGGTCTAAAAAAACGCTCAGAAAAATATGAAATTTCAATCGATCCAAAAATAATGTGTAGATATCTAAACACGATCATTTTAAGCATTCCGTAAAGATCATTGATGAAGGAAGAAAAAAAGTCGGGAACAGAAAACAACTGAATTAAAAACAGATAAAAAATAATTTTAATAATAGAAATCACAAAGAAAAAACACAATAGAACACGAGAAAGACAAATAAAAAAATAATCTTCCAGTGATACTTTCGCACTTATTCCACTAAATATTTATCGGCTTTGCAAGATGATGTAACACGTATGAAATAATTTTGATAAATTTTGAATAGAAATTAGGTGATTACATGCCACGATATCATTTTGCTGTACTTATACTTCTAGCTAAAACTAGAAATATCCGCGCTCTCACCTTGAATTTTGGGATTTTTTTTTGCTCTCTCTCATTTTTATGCAAGAAAAATTGGTGCAATTCGTCTAGTGCGACCGTATAATCCGTTTGTGATTATTTTTATCATTACCTTCATGACGTAATTCATCCTTATCGAATACTCTGGGTAATTTTAGAGTCTCAGATTAAAATGGTGCTGCATTCAAAAAGGAATTCCGTCAAGAAATTCATCAATTTCTTCTTATTAACCCATCTATAAAAGGAAACCTGCGGGAAAACTCTACTCACTCCCATTAAGAGAAAATGCAAAAACAAATAAATTTACACGTACTTACGTGCTTATGCATACAAAATAATTACGCAACATACTTTGTTTTCCATTATCAAAGTAAATTGCGGAAGATTATCGGCATACATTGAATTTCACTCGTACAGATTTTTATTTTATTATTATTATTCTAATACTAGGTAGTCAGCTACAGAAACAGAGAAACAGAACAAGAAACAGTCTCAGGACTGTTTCTGAAGTTATTGTTCGGTTTGAAAAATTCCTATGAAATCGCGTGTTTCCTAAAAATACCTGTACTAACTCACTCGTGTAAAGAGAGAGAGAGAGAGGGGGATGACTTTGTTTCATATTATGTTTTTTAACTGTTTTTTATGGATACAATAATGCAGTAGAAATTCGATTCAGGGTCGTATTGACATCATACTTACCACCAATTTGCATATAGGCATGTATGTTTTGGATTTATAAACAAAATACGACTTTCTTAAAGAGTATAAAATTTAAAATCTATGTAATTTCTTTGAGTTTCAAAAATATTGTGGAAGTATTTTCACCTCTTAGTGATAATGGGTAGTAAAAATAATTACATCCAATTTCGAATTACCTCAAAGGCAGGAGTATACGTCTAATTAAATTGCACGATGAGAATTGCTGAAAAATTTTCCGACTCAGTATTGTAATTTGACAAGGAACCCATGAAACTTGCATACGCGTAACTTGACATGAATCGGGAACAACCCTCTTGATATATATCTATGACAATAAAAAATTGTTACCTTTAAGAGCCAATTTTTAAGTCATAATTATATTGTCACAATGTAACTTGTACACCCTAATTTTAAAAGTTTCATATTTTAGAAAACTGGCTAATTGAAAAAAAGGTGAAATTTGTGACTCTCGTCCAAGAAACAGCAAGGTGCGAGATCTTTTGTGTGAGCTATTTTAACGTCGAAATAAGGCTTACGTGGTAGTTTTTAAAATTTTGATGTTTAGAAAATTAGACAGCCCTACCGTTAACAAGTAGTTCTACTCATTTTAGATCAATTTTTTTTTATTATGAGAAATGTATCTCTTGATGGTCTGAAACGTGAGGCTGAATTTTAATCGCGTAAAAACTTGCAATGCGTTGAGAAAAATTAAAGCAAGGTTTTAGTATCACTCCGATAGAAGCAAAGCGCATTGGAGTGTTTTTTTCAAATTTGTAATCCCCTTCCTTTCCTATGAATAACCTAATGGCAACTTAATTCAGAGAATTTACCTACTGCTTTTTGAAATATACTAATGATTTTCGCATTTTATGGTAGAAGGTTGTCATACGCACAAAAAACGGTATTACTTTTTTTAAAAAGAAGAAAAGAAACACAAACTAATCTAAAACATGCCTCGAGGTTTTTTATTATCTTTCCTTTCAGAAAAAAAAATGTAAAAGCTCGTTTTTAGCGAAATATTTCGAGTTAAATGTTCATTTGTGTCATGAACTTCCACGTAATTTTTAAAATTTAAAATCGCTTCCTCGAAATGTCAAAATTGTTACTGTACCGTTTCGAATACCGTGACCCTCTTTAATCGTACATGCTCGTTCAAAGCGACTGCAAATCCGGGTTTGTTCTGCAAGAATCGGAGCACTACAACTGTGCTTACCTCATGCCCTGCTGGGTGTCATGACAGTTTCATATTTGTTTCCAACTTTTTGCGCGATTTTTCTGAGGACCGCGGACTTCACACGTGTTTTTCAATCATGAACCAGCATCAGTTTCCTAGAGATCTAGCTCAAATTGAAATTCCGCGAGACCTCATTTTTTACCATCACGCACTTGTTGGTTTCAGCCTTGCTCCGCTTCAGTGGCGAGGCGTGAATGATCGATTATCGATATTTCCCTATTTGAAGCCGTGGTGAAGAATCGATTATTAAGGTGTTCGTTGCGAACACCCTGTCTATCGATTGTCTTCGATAGGTTTAAATGACAGATTAAGCGATTTATCGAAAATCACGCCACGCCACTGCGGTTCCGCTTAAATTTTGCCACGTGGCAACGAATTACATATATTTCCCGCCATGATCTTTAAATTAACCACAGCAAAAACTGAAATGCATCCTATTGAAACGGAATAAAAACTATGGAAGAATGATTTTGACGCTTTCGAGACGTAGCCCCTATCCCTTTCCCCGTCCTCGCGTTTGAAGGAGATAGGAAAAAACTAAAATAATACAATTCGCTACCCGTGTTTGCAGTTTAAACGGTGAATTTGAAGGCTTTCTATTTTTTAAATGAAATGTCGCTTGTATTCTGTTGAAAATAAGACTCTTTGCATGCGGTGACAGAGAGAGGTAGGAACTGTTTTTTTCCTAGACTCTTGAACTGTTTAACGAGGGGGTCCCAGATCGTTAATTAAAATGAATCGGATGTAAACTGAAGTCAAAAATCTGGGCCACAAGGTAAGATTGCTTTGCGGTGTCGTTTGCCGCTTGTACCCTCACCGCCACTACTGCACCCAGGGTTGTCAAATTTATTTTAATTGTGATACAATGAACTTCTCTTGAGGTGATTTCATGTAATCTAAAGGAACGAAAGCCGACAGA